ACTCTTTCAGGTTTTATACTAGTGAAACAATGCAGTGCTTGCACATGCAGGTCTGATTTATTTCACTTATGAGTATGGTCTCTAGTTGTGACCATTTACATATAAAGGCCTTGAGTTTATCTTTCTTTATAGCTGAGTAATATTCCATTATAGAAAAGTACCACAAAAAATGTTTTGATTTAATATAAAGTGGCTATTGATGCAGTTGATGTTACCGAAATCTTTATTATGAGGATGCCAGTGTCTGATCCTGAAACCACTGTTGGCATTAGCAGTGCTGCCATGGCCATTTTCACAGCCTTCACAGCTTCATACCTTTTGATTTAAGGAATATTGAGTTTCTTAAATTTAGCTGTAGCCAGGGATATAGCTCAGTGGTTACAGTGCCTGCCTACCAAGTGCAAGGTCCTGAGTTCAATTCCTGGCACCAAAAAAAAAAAAAAATTAGCTTTAGTTTTGTGTTCCCTTAAAATTAGTTTAGTTTGAGGAGAATTAAGAGTTTCTCATGGACATACGTCGGAAGTGTAGCCATGCTCTCTCTTTGGTAGATAAACCCCAGGGTAATGGCGGTACAGGCTGAACCCAGATCGGTGCAGCATGGTTTCTTCTATAACCAGCCTCCGCCCGGCCTCTTCTCTCAAAGTAGATATTATTGAGGTATTCCCAGGAGACATGAGGTTGTGACATGATTGTTACTGTTCTCTTATTGTAGACAGTGTGTAAACGTGGAACTGTAGGCATATGCCATTGTACCTAGCTAGCTTTTCTCTTTCAATTTGATAAATTTTCACATCACTGTTATTACGAAGATACAGTGTCATGCAGAAACACATGTATTAGGTTAATAATATTCCTTAGTTATTGCAGTCTGATCAGGTCCACAGTCTCCCAAACGAGTGTACGGCAAAGGCTAAATAAAAAGAGGTGAATGGAATGATTTCAGGGTTCTAGGAGGATGAAAGCCTTCTCATGGAATTGGAGATTCTCTCTGGGCTAACCAAGACCTTCTCTGGGTGGCCCATATTTATTTGGTCAGCAGAAGAAGGGTGGGAAATACTCAAGAAGGGCGGAATTACTGGAGAATTTCTCCAAGTAAGATACTACATTAATCCGTAATAAGGATTAAGTTAATCCATCCAGAAGTGAGATTCCTGAGGCTGTCGTCTTTGAGGTGGGATCCAAGTGTCCTTGGCTGTGATCTTGTCTTATCCTTTGAGGCTTTCTGGCTTCATCCGCCATTG